TTTGGATTTGAAATCAAAATAATGGATAAATGTTGTGTTTGTGGTAAACAGCCGTGGATCAGGAGCGGACTGCAAACACTTCCTGTGCGAAAGCAAAATGAGTCCGTGCTGCTTCTGCACCGCATACACATACTGTATACGCACTGCAGACGGAGTACGTGTGAACTTGGCGCAACAAATCTAGTTCAACATCTGAGGCAACGCCACAAAGAGCTCTATGACCAATGCATGGCAAAAAAAATCCCTGGACGTGGTTTTTTTTTCCCTGCCATATCTCTATTCTAGAGACATTTTGTTACACCTTTACTTAGTGATTACTTTGCCTTATGTCTGTTCTATAGACATGTTACAGCTTCTTGATAAAGCTCTAATTGGTTTTCTTTTGGAAATATGTTTCAAATTCACACTGAATGCATTTATGACTGTAAAGCATGTCTGTGTGTGTCAAAATCGTGATTAAAATCGAAATCGCAAAATTTATCAAGAAATCGCGATAGTTTTTTTTTTGTCCATATCGCACAGCCCTAGAACATACCCATAGCATATCCCACATTCATACTGACAAACCACATGGCTCAACTAGGTATGAAAAAAGACACAAATGCAGAAGTCCAGAATTACTAGAATTATTCTAATATATTTTGCATTGGCCTATTGGGGAGAAAATGAGCAATTGAGTAAGGGACACAGTAAGGAGGAAAGGGTGCTTGACTTCCTCCTTCTGCTAGGAAACAAAATTGTGGTTTATTTTTCCTTTCAGGAATATATGTTTGAGTCTGTGCGATAAGCCCATGGTTTTGTATGTCTGGATATCATCTGTACATGTAGTGGCACTTTTTGTATCATTATGGTGAAGGAAAAAAGTCTACAAGTGAGCACAGAATCACTATCTTCATGCTCATATTTACAGCTAATATTTATCTAATATGCAAATTGATGAAGCTCCTGGGTATTGTCAACCAGCTGAGCTAATGAGGTGAAACAGCGCAACAGGCAGGCAGCAGAAACATCAGGCAGACTCAGTGACACCAAGTCAAATATAATCAAGCATCTAGCAGGAAGAGTTGAGCAGGCAGTGATCTGGATCTGTTCCTTAGACCAGTAAGGTGACCAGTCCTCATATGAGGTGCAGACTCTCATAGCAATATTGTTGTTTTTGTTGGAGGTGTTGCAGTGTTGTTTTTAGCAAGACATTTACATACACTGTATTGCCAAAAATATTGGGACACCCCCTTCTAATGAACAGGTTTGACTTTAGTAATTTCCATGAGTAGAAATCTTGTTTAAGCGTATAGGGAATTGTGTGCTTCTAATTTTATAGCAACAGTTTAGAACAGGACCCTTTTCAATTCTAACATGACAATGCCTCTGTGTATAATGCAAGGTTAAAAAAGAAATGATTGATTTAGTCAGTGTAGAAGAACTTGACTGGTCTAACTGATCCCAGCTGAACCCCTCTTTAAATGACTTTAAATGTAGACCTTGAGCCAAAAACTCATCACCAAACACCAATAACTTGTACATACACTATATGGACAAAATATTGGGACATCCCCTTCTTTAGAACAGAAAAGGGCACTTCCAAAACTGTGGCAGCAAAGATGGAAACATAATTCATGTATGTAAAAATTTTATTTCCAGCTCTGTTGCAACAGTTTTGGAAGTGTCTAAAATGACTGTACCCATATGTACAAGTGATTGGTGTCTAGTGATGAGTTTTTGGCTCAAGGTCTGCATTTAAAGTCACAAGGACATTAAATTACCAAACACCAAATCACAGAAATTTGGGCCAATGAGATTTCACTGTGGTTGGAGTTACTCATTCTGAAATACAAAAAAAGTAATGTTGATCAATATTTAATGAAATATTACTATTTTTGTAACAATCCAATATTCTAATAATAGAACTGCATCTAGTATGTGACATCTGTATATATGTGTCGCAACACATCCACACCCAATAATCAGTTGACTGAGATCTCTCGTGTTTGGACAGCGTTTTATTTTGAGGCATTATCTGCTCACGCGACACCGTGTAGCCAATCAGTATGGCTGCTGCAGCGAGAATGATAAATGGGTGTTATGTGTGTTTTAGTCCTGTGAATTACAGTTGGCTTGCGTCGGTCACCCGCTGTGGATTAGCATGGCTTTGGAATGCCGCTGGTCTAATGTCTTGTGTCTGCGTGTCTGTGATCCATCACCACACCCAAACAGCATAGCAATGTGTGTGCCTTTGTGTGCATGTGTGTAGTTTGAGAGCGTAGCAGCTGTTGTTGTCTGAGGTCCTACCTCCCAAACGCACAACACAGCCACAGAAATACACGCACACAGCTGGAGGGTAGTACTGATCTCAGTGCAGCAGGTATTACCTTTAATGACCAAAGCAGCCTGAAAAGCTGCAAAGGCTGGACTTAACATGGACTGTTCACCGACAGACCGTAATACAAGCAGATTTACACCTCGGATCCGAACCGTCATGTCTCCTGGAGAAGGGTTGTGTGTCATTCAAAACTGAATTGAGAATGCCGTGAAATTTCCTGAAATTGAAATGAGGTAGCAAACAGGAAATACAGTTGTAATTCAAATTTGTGTGTAAGGAAGGATAATTCACATGGAATGTAATTCAAAATAGATACAAAAGAGTTCTATTTCAAATGACCTCTCTATTCATCAGAAATCCTGAAAAAAATTATATTAATTTCCACACACATATTAAGCAGCACAAATGCTTTCAGCATTGATAATGATAATTGAATATTTCTTTAGCACCAAATCAGCATATAAAAATCATTTCTGAAGGATCATGTGACACTGAATTTTCAGCAGCTATTACTCAAGACTTTAGCTTTGCCATCACAGGAATAAATTACATTTTAAAATATATTAAATTCTATCTATCTATCTATCTATCTGTCTATCTGTCTGTCTGTCTGTCTGTCTAATAAAGACATTCATAAAATCTCTCTCTTATAGTCTTTTAAAATCTCTCTCTCTCTCTCTCTCTCACACACACACACACACACACACACACCTATATAGCGCAAAAGTATTCATACTCACAATGCCTCAAAACATCATCCACATGAGCACACTCACACACACACACCTGAAGCCTCTCAGGTGGATTATCTGGCGCTTGGCAGAACACACTCCCCCATCCCCTTCGCTGGGCCGCACTGCTTCTGTTCGCCTGCCTGGGGCCAAGCTCCGGTTTCAATGAGGAGGGTAAAATATCCCCCCTTCCACCTCTCTTCCTCCTTCCCATCTCTCCCCCAAGAATCTCTCCCCATGTGCTAGCTTGAGTTACTGCCGCCCAGTTGTACCAAGGAGAACCGCACATAGGCATCTCCTTCACTCAAACGCTCAAACATCTCACATAAGATCACACAGTTTGGGACCAGCTGATTGAATTTTGCTACTTTCTCGTCCCACAGAGAACTCTCACACACCTGCGCTGGAGCCGGGCAGTCACATGACCCCCGAGGAGCACTACAGGCGCATGATGTCAGCTCTGAACGAGCATGGCTCTTTTGAGGAGCAGCAGCAGCGCCTGTACCAGCTGGCGAACAACATGGGCGTCCCAAGCCATGGTGAGTATGCGTCGCCTGTGTATGTGTGTGTGTGTGTGTATGTGAGCTTGTTTCTGTATCCACTCTAATTACCCATGTAGTCTCATTCCTGGATACCACACAAACAGCTAGAGCTCGACTGTGGAGATTACTGACAATTCTATTTGTGGTCTCAGCCCACCCAACGGTAGTATGTCAGAGTGGGTGATCTGTGACTACTGCCACACACAGTAGTAAATAACACTGCCATTGGACCCTGAGGTCGACTGGATCTATTTGGCCCTTTGATTGGCTGCAAGCCAACCCTCTAAATTACCAACACCATGAAAACGGCTCCTTAGCCGAAATTTACGATCACTGACGAGATACCAGGGTTAACGGATGCGGATTTGTAAGATTTGTAAACCGAAATTTAGTGAACATCATTTTGTTTTATTTGTTTGGATACATCTTAACTGCGCTTTAGAGCCTTGTTGACGTTTTTCTCTCAGAAACCATTAATTGCATCCAGCTTTTATGGCCTTTTTTTTTCGGTAGCATAAATTGAATCAATCTCACATTCTTGCTAAATCTGAGCGTGTACGACTTTAAATTTTATTTGATCAGTAATGATTCTTAATTACTGCTTGCAAATCCAAAGGGGGGAAACGCTATAAAGGGTTTAATTGCCCCTCTCGTACATCTGTAAGAAATTAGTGCCACTGTATGTGCCGTTTGCGTCTGGGATTTTATGACAGTGGTGCTGCGCTCTCCTGTCACCTCCACCTAATAGTTTCTCTATTTTTCTACCACGTTGAGGATGAATTCACAGACAATTACCTCCCCGATTCTGTCAAATCTTCTCTCGTCTCATCATCCGCACTCCTCCCTTTGACTTTCCCAGCTCAACTTCCTTCCACTCTCCATCTCTACTCCTCACATCCACCGCAACCACCTAAAAAAAGGTGTGGTTATTTGTGGAAAGGAATCTGAAGCTGAGAAGAAAAGACAGGGCGTTTACTCGTCTGTGGGAAATCCAGTGAGTGAAAGCAGCCGCGTGATTTGCGGGGTCACAGTCGGTTCCTCTCCTAGATTTCTGGAAAAATGTCAGGTGTATGGTTTCATAATGGCTGCCATTGAAAACAGACTCACCAGGCCAAGGTGCTGTTCCTCCCCTGAGGAATGCGAGTGTGCTGGCTTGCCCCTGCACGCTGAGCTCCTAAGCCTACGATAAGGCTGTGCCAGTCAACCGCTGCCAGCATGCCTGGCTGCCAGGACTTTGATGAGTGAGATACCTATTCTCAACTTTTTACCCAATGGTCTACTGTATACATCCATGATGTTTCTTAGTTTACCCAAAAATGTCATTGTTTAGTCATCCTTGTGTCATTCCAGATCTGTATGACACAAAATGAGACGTTGTACTGGTCATTCTTTTTCATGCACTTACAGTGCAACAGGGACTGAGATTTTCAAGCTTCAGAAAGCACCTTCAAAGTATCATTCAAGTACTGAAAGACAGAAATATAAGTTGTTGATCACTGACAACAATGTCCAATTGGTGAGCATATAATCTTTTTGTGTTGGATCTTTTTAAAATTCAAAGAGGATGCAAAAGCACCATATCAGTATCGTGACTGTATTCCTTTTTTAATGAATCAGACTGATTCGGTTCTCGGGTTTGACTTTTTTTGTGACTGCAATCACTCCCCATTTATTGAAGTTTTTACAAAATTCTCCTTTTTCTATTCCAAAGTAATACAGGTTTGGAATGATGCAAGGGTGAATATATAATGACTTTCTAATTTTTACATAATTTAAAACTTTTATATTTATTTTTATTCAACACTTTTCTAATGTTTAGATTTGCAGGTTCTGACTGGCTGTCTGTCCCAAACATTCTCTTCCCACTCCTTCATAGTTTACTTGCTTCCCCCCTTTGTCCTTAAGTCACTTTTAATTTATGTTCTTATTTGTTTTTTTGTTGTTGTTGTTGTTTCTTCAGCGCTATTGCTCACACAGAGCTGCTTTTGACTTTTCGGGAGTGAGTTTTCAGAGAAACCTCTCTGGCGCAGGGAAGCGTCAGCCCCAGCTGTGTTTCTGTGTGTTTTCTCCTCTCTTCTTTACCTCCACGTGCCTCTATCTCCCTGCTCTCTCCTTTGAGATGCCTTCTTTCTATCTGGCTCCTTTCCTTTCTTCATATCTCTGCACCCTCCTTATGGCTCTGTCTTTATACCCCGCCACTCACCCCACCCCCTCGTGTGTGCCTCTGAAGTGTGTCGGGAAGTGTTGATGCAGTGTTAGGTTCTATACAGTAGAGGCTCCAAAGACCCCTTGACATAGGTGGAGAGTAG